AATGTAAGAGACCTTTGCTGCTCCAAAGTTTCAGTACATACCTATGGAAGCCGTCAAACGTATCACATCCTTCTATTATATGTACCACAGCCCAGTTTAAATCACCAATATTCTTTGAGACTTACTTTTCTGTAACATGCGCCACAGCCCATTTTAAGATATAAAAGGATCCTAAAGGGATCACCTTGCTGTTGTGTAACCACAGACCAGATAAATTAAATAACAATGTTAAGACTAAGTGATAGTATCTACAGCACAGGCCAAAGATTCAAACTGACGTTAACGAGACCACTACACCGTGTCGCTTACACAACTGGCTGGTGTGACCTTCTCGATGCTTTATTTAGCGTATAAATAGCTTCATGCCCATGCATCAGTAGAAGGATACGGTGACAGATGCGGAAGACCACGAGGCATCAGAAACAGAAAGGGTAAAACGATCAAACATGATTGTCTCTCACTGCTTACATGGCAAAGCACAACATGTAATGAGTAGGGTGTCCGCATAGCAACTCTAAAACCCGCTACCCTTTCCAGGCAACAATGGCGACGGAATTATGACGACGTATCATTTACTTTGGAGTTGATAATAATACGCATCAACACGCAGCATCATAAGAGGCCGTAGCATACGCAGCAGCAAGAAAGCTTAGCGATGAGCACCTGTAAACGTTTAAACAACTGTGTAAAGCAGATGTCCAGCCAAAAGCAATACCATCATTTCTGCGCCAGACCGACCCATCCTGCAAATTCATCCTTTAGAATATCTATAGTATCGAAACAAAATCCAAGATGTAACGGGGCACCCTTTGTTTAAGTTGCCACGAAAATTCAAGTACACTAGTACGTGCAGAGGAAGCTAATCTACTCAAACAGCTAGTTTGAGTAAAGTTAAGAAGAGAACTGTAATCGATATAGTTAAGCTATTTATTTAACTTCAGTCTTTAGTTAACTATGTTAAACTACGCCGTCGCATGACGACAACCTGATCGCCACACATTACGCGCGTCTAGCAGCAAGCGGTGGTAATTTTGGTTGGTATGTCTTGCATCAACCAATCTTTGAGCAGCACGTATGTATTATCCCAGAAGATAATATTTCATCAATTTGAACTATCTCGGATAATATTGGCAGGGTATCGTTACTCTGTACAATCTCCCTATTGACACCGTTTGGTGTCGATATCATGTAACGGGCTGATTCGTTACATTAGGTACATCTAGCCGCACTATTGACACACACACGGACAGAGAGACAAACGGAGACACACGATGAGACCGACATACAGATAAGTACGATAGACAAGTTCAGCATTTCACCTTGCGCACAGTAAATAATAGCTTTACCGTTCGGGCTCACAATCAGTATTTATTCTTTATAATTTAGTACATGTCCTCTAGAAAGAATTTATTTTTTGAACGTATCCTACTAAAAATTTTTAAAGCGTCGAAATTTTGCACATAATGTGGAATGTCTACATTCACATCATGCACATTTTGAGCGCCCACAGTTGCAATTTAGATCAATTCCACTTTGTGAACCATTTTTTGCAATGCATCCAATGTATAAGATCTAATGCCGGATGTCATACGCCACTTGACGACTCGTGGCCCAGAGACACTGCGACATACAGAGAACGAGGTTCCACTAGTACAAGCGACCACCAGCAGATCGAGATATACTGCAAATATAATGAGTGCTTCACCGCGCAGAGCAATTATAAATAGGCAACACATTTCGGGTCATAAGAACGGGACCTAGTGTCTGCATCTTTTTATTTATTGGTATCACTCTCCACTCGAATGGCCCCTACGCTGATTCTCATACTTCTGCTCACATAAAGTTGTTACAATAAGACTTGACAGATTCTCTGGTGCTATTGTCGAATATTGACCGTAGACACTTCGCAGCGTTATAACTTAAGGTCGCATGTAGCGGAGCTACACAGCTCCTTAAGTCCGAGGAAGCCTTGGTGCTTAAAGAGCGATATTATTTTACATAACTAGACTATGATGTAAGAGACGTAAAGCTTAAGGTCCCTGTTACAGGGGACCGATCGATTCAGTGACTATACAGCACTTAGTGTTCAAGAGTAGCTAAATCAGGGACGTGTTGCTAATTCTTTCCGATCTTCCGATCTTCCGATCTACTATTATAGAAGTCTCGCAAGGCACGTGTCTTAGACAAGATCAGAAGGGGAACGGAACTTTTTTTACGTTTAGCTCTATAGAAAATCTCAATACTAATATCACCAAATCCAGGCACACATGTCCTGAATGAATATCTTCAAGATCTTTCCAATCTTGTGGCTGACACCCGTCAGCCCCTATAAACCGAATACATATTCAATATCTCTTCTTGTAAAATACCATCCCACAAGGAGTGCTAGATCCATCTCTTGTGTCTAGGACACAGGGATCGAGTACCCTACGACGTGTAACCCCTTTACATCGTACTTCTTATAGACGATCGATATTGTTGCCTCTCCAAGTATTGCGTCGAATGACGCATCCTCCATCTTCAGTTACTTTGCAGCACGAGCTACCAGGGTTTGTACTGAATGGGGTTGCGTCATATGGGGGGTATTCCATGAGCAAATTAGACAAAGAGGCATCTCGATGATCAACGGATCGCAAAGTATGCTTAACCGCCAACTAAAGCACGTAGTCTCGACATGATCAACTCCAGGTGACTCATCATGCCTGTTTGAGACGAGTGTCGCCATCGATAGCATTCACCGCGACGGTTTTTGGCGTGACCAGGACGCTAGGAGTTAGGGACACATGTGTTAAAAAAGCATGTGCTCGTAGCATGTGCTTGTAGTCGTCTTTGTTGACGACAAATTCACAGCTACAGTGATCACTGTAAGTGGTCTCACGGATACTGTTTTGCGTGACTTGTTTTTTTCCTTCTCACACTATTTAGTATATGTGCCACTGATTACGAATGCAGACTGTATCATGTAAGGTTATTCTTACCGTCACTACTTACCGTTTTACCAAAATTAGTAGCACGCCACCAGATCAAATCACACAAATACGACCACGTGCTCGCTGAAAAAACATCCGTGATGGAAGAATCATCTTTTCGGCGACGTGAGTCTCCATTTGTTGTAAGTGCATGATGCACTGGATTCGACTCCAGAGATTCGACCCATGATAGGGTATGTCTAGAATGTTCTTTAGGGTTCTATGCATTATTATTGGTCGTACGACAGCTAGACGTATGGATAGTTCTCACTTGTAGATTGACAAACCACTGATGAGCCCCCGGCGGGGCCGAAACGCGTCTGGTCGCGGTAATATACAAGTCATTTACTTTACTTAACTCTTTACTTCTTACAGGTTATGAGCCCAAATGCTCGCTCAGACACCTCACCAAGGACCAACTTGTGCGAGGGACACCCCGTCAGAGAAGGCGCTCGATGCACGAGTAAGGCGCCGAAGATTCATCGACAGGGATCGTTACGGTGCGTCAGTCGAAAAGGGTTTGTGCAAGGGTGGTGACGCGAGATGGTCTGAATGCGCGAGTGCTATCGAAGGAAGAGTCAAGTCAAGTGGTGACAAGTGTATTTGTGGTCAAGAAGAAGTGGAAACTACATCAAGGCGAACGACGACTACGAGATGTCAAGATGTGACATGGTCTGACGATGGGGAGCTGGAATACCTGGAACGCTCGGTATCATCGAGGTTGCTGGAGCGCAGGGCAAGACTCAATCAAGATTCCCATGGTGCACGGATCAGCAGTGAGGATTACAGGCGGGTCGATACCAAAGTGGTCTGCATCTCATGTCGTCGAGGGGGAGTGTTGTAAGTGCATGATGCACTGGATTCGACTCCAGAGATTCGACCCATGATAGGGTATGTCTAGAATGTTCTTTAGGGTTCTATGCATTATTATTGGTCGTACGGCAGCTAGACGTATGGATAGTTCTCACTTGTAGATTGACAAACCACTGATGAGGCCCCCGGCGGGGGGCCGAAACGCGTCTGGTGCGCGGTAATATACAAGTCATTTACTTTACTTAACTCTTACTTCTTACACCATTTGTGCGCTTCACAGCGGTGTCAGTACCTCCTCAGGTTACGTTAGGGTTGTGTTTACGTGGGTTTTGTGTGTGGTGATCAGCATTTGAGTGGTAGAACGTGGAGAATATTGATATGTTTAGTTTGTAAATGCAATTTTAGGAAAAGATGCAGTTTTCTTTGCAATATTTGGCAAGTACTCAACCTAGCAGCGTGGTAAAGCCAATTCAAACCACCGTTTTAAATCCGAGGTCCGCTGGTCGATGTCAAATTAGACATCCAACCACAAAGATACTTCATAAGAAGCAACGCATTATTGACGACTGCACTTCGAAGCTAGCAGCTATACGTTGTGAAGGAACCCAAATCCTCGAGTGGAGAGGTGATACTTGTCTATTTCCGATTCCCCTTCTGACCAAAAGTCGGTTGCTCGATGTCAGCTGAATTCTCCCGACCGGTGGGAATTAATCTTGATCTCCCGACCGGCGGTCTGGTGTTTAGGCACAGGACGGGAATACCATGACGTATCTGCGTTTTGAACAACAAGACAATGAATTCTAAAGCTTGTCACTTTCCGCACGAGCTTAACGTACGCGTCGAATCGGATGCTGCTTCGATCTAGTGCACTTTACGATCATCCAACGTGGAGGAGAGGCGATGGCTGCGTTTCTGTCGGCGGCGATAACCTGGCGACAACGAGATTGCATACGTTTACTACGGTAGAGTTGTCGTGTGTCGAGATAAGGTCTGTTTGGGTACATGCGAGCGCAAGCCTGTCGAAATGGCCAGCGTCCGTACACCGAAGAGTGCCAGTGCTCATTACAACGTGCAAGAAGTAAAGTAACCGGATATCGTCAGCAGCCGCAAGAGTGAATGCTGTCGGGACCCGATGCATTACGAAAGAGCATGTCGAACCGAGGGTTATCATACGCAAGCATCCATTCTATTGCACTGTTGCGCTACCACATGTACACACTACCTGTCCTCGCTTCGGTGCTTCTTGCTCTTCTTGCTCTTTTTCATCTTTTTATTCTTGCCTGCGGCACCGCTTCGCAGCGCATCCATAATCATAGCTACATCTGCACTTTTAGCAATCTCCTCCGTGCGCTGTTCAGCTTCCTTTCCAGTCAGTTCAACAGCTTTGCGCTTCGTAGACTTCTTGCTTTTCTTCTGCCTTGTCTTCGTTTCGGGTATCTCGTCCTCCTCTACAAAATCCTTGAACATCTCAGCTATCTTCTGCTGCTTCGTATAAAGCGCCTCCCACTTTTCGTGGCTCTGTTTATACTCGAACAAATGGCAAGTGTTCATGACAAGCTGCGAAAAGTGGCTTCCACTTAGCTGTGTCTCCACTGCCAGAAGTTCCCGCACAACTGCCTCTTTCTTGTCCAGCGACAGATCCTCGTAGCACTTCATGACCGAAAAGGCACCAAGACGGTCCATTGCCAGCATGCCAAACTTGCCCACAAATCGCTCATACAGCTCTTGCCGCACCCATGCTGTACCAGGTTCCTTGGATTCCCAAATAGGTTCTACGACGCAGCGACTACCCGTCGAGTCCTTGGCCAAGGCCATGAGCTGCATGCTATTGAACGAAAGAATGCTCTTGTACAACGGAGTCAAATACTCTCCAGCCTCAAATTGATGCAGCTGCTCAATAATCTTGGCACCCATAACATTCAGCTGAACTTTGGCGGACGTCGCAGATGTTGACAGCTGCACGTTCAGCAGAGAGGCTACAAAGTTCTTGCGAACAGCTTCAGGCTTCTTGCTCTCTTGTTTTACTATTGCGCTCACAAGTGCCTCAAATACCTCCTGTTGACGCAGCTTAAACGTCACACACAATTCCACTACACGCCAAATAACGCCAGGCCTGCCCATGGTCAGCAACGTCCAGAACGAAGTTATCAGTTCCTCCAACACTTCTGTTGCTAATTCTTCGGTGCGCACGAGCTTGATGATGTGCTGGACCACGTAGTTGGCAACGTTGTGTTCTCCCAGCTGCACCATTTTACCACGCACACATCTCTTAAACAACTTTGTACAAAAACTTGTCGCTGGCACTTTCGAACAGAGCTTCAAGCAAGTGGCTAGTCACAGCGTCAGCCGCCAGCTCATAGAAGTTACGCTCACAAGCGTCTTTGTCCTCCCACTGAAGAATTTTCTCCGCAAGTTTACGTTGGCTCTTCAAGGGTGCCAGCTTCAGCGCAGAAGCGATAAGCGGACCTGAATTCTGATCATACAGCAGGTTCTGCAACTCAAATGTCGAGCTCTCAACCAAGGTCGCCAGTAGGTCCTCAAACAACGCATCGAACGTATCCGGTACATCATACGTAATGACCCCACCTCCATCCTTTCCAGGTCGAGCTTCGGTGAATGTAATAACCCGGTGCTTCGCCTTCTTGCCTCGCTTCTCTGGAACGAGCGGTTTGCCAGCCAGCACTGCCAGCACCGAGCGCAGCACGTGACTCGCACTTACATCGTTCATAAGAGTGATCCACTCATTCTCTACCTCTCTCACCATGTGAACAAGAACGTCACTCAGAAGCGGAATATCTTCCATCCGGTCGTCCTCGTCCTCCTTATTGTCCAGTCCGTCCACCTCTTTCGCCACTGCAACGCTAGCACGAGACAGCATGTGCTGTAGCACGTGAGAAGAATAGCGATTGGTCCATAAATGACTCACGTAGCCCGCCATCTTATGCAGTAGAAATCGTAGCTGCGCATCGTTCATCTTGGGCAAGAAAACCTCCAGCAATTCACCAGCGTGACGATCGGACGCAGCGCTGGCTGCTCGCGGCGCCAGCTCCTCCAGCACGTTCCACAGCAGCAGCTCAGTATCTTCTACCGTCGAGTCTTCTCCAGTCTGTGTCAACATCTCCGTCACTTCCTTCAGATACGACAGCGTATCTGGCTCCAGACGACGCGGACGCACGCGCCTGCAAATCAAAAGACCAGTCACCAAGAACATCCATGAACAGTACTCTACCAATCAGTACTAAGCACTAAGCGTACTCAGGTCGCTGCGAGCGGACGTCCTGCGCGTCAGCCTCGGCCATCGATGACATCTCAAGTGACGTCTTTCAGCCAACCAAGATCAGCGACAAGCTTGGTGTACGTGGTACACACCAACCAACTGATCCCCTTTGCGCACTCGCAGTGCATGCGTTCGCTCGATGGTCCACCACTCCACATTGGTGTTGCACTTACGTGGTCCACTTCATCTACACCTGGTCAAACGTGCGCTCGCCACACCCCGTCGTTCAAGGCCATGGCCGAATCCAGCAGCAGTAGCAGCAGCAGCAGCGCGTGCTCCAGCCCAAGTCCCAGTAGTGGCAGTGCGAGCCCCAGCCCAAGTCTAAGCAGCATCGCTTCTCCTTCTGCGCCTCCATCCCCTCCACCTCGTGCCACTCCGACGAACGACGCGACGAGCGCGACGGATGCCGTCTCCTCATCTACTGAGTCGAAGAAAGTGCGTACCGATGATCTTCCAAACGATTCAGTGACCAAGCAGATGGTGGATAAAAAAGCGTCGTCGAGTGCTTCGTTTGATGCGCCCAAGGCGCCGCTCTTGTCCACAGCCGAGCGCGAGGCGCTTCGTCGTGAGGAAGAGCAGGTCTTGCACGACCAGCGCGACCGGCAGCTCAAGTCGCTGGACCTGGTCAAGCAGAATCTGACGCAGGACGTGGAATGGAGCGCCAAGTCGGCGCGTGAGAAGAAAATGGCGTTTCTTATGGCCCAATCCGATGTCTTTACATCGTTTCTCATGGGCGGCAGTAGCGCTGTGGGCAAAGAAATGTCCCGCAGTAAGAAGGCTGCTGCTGCCAAAGACGCTGGCTCGAAACGAGGCAAGAGCAGCAAACAGGCGGACGCTCAAGCGCTGCAGGACATGGATGACGCGCGGTATACGCGTATCACGCAGCAGCCGTCAAGTATTTGCTTTGGCACGATGAAACCGTACCAGCTCGAAGGTCTGAATTGGATGATTCGACTTCATGACTCGGGCGTGAACGGTATCTTGGCCGATGAAATGGGACTGGGCAAGACCTTGCAGAGCATCTCGTTACTTGCGTACTTGAGGGAGGCGAGGGGTATCGAAGGGCCTCATATCATCATTGTGCCTAAAAGTACAGTCGGCAATTGGATGAAAGAACTAAAGCGATGGTGTCCATCGATTAACGCGTTCAAGTTTATGGGTAGCAAAGATGAGCGGGCACTGCAGAGAGAGACGGTGGCGAAACGGAACTTTGACGCCTTGGTGCTGTCATACGAAGTGGCGATTATTGAAAAGGCCATTTTGCAGAAGATCAAGTGGAAGTACTTGCTCATTGACGAAGCACATCGCGTAAAGAATGAGAATTCGAAGCTTTCTCGCGTTGTGCGCGAGTTCAAGGTTGAACACCGACTACTGATTACAGGCACCCCGTTGCAGAATAATTTACACGAGTTATGGGCGCTGCTGAATTTCTTGCTGCCTGACATTTTCTCGGATGCAGAAGACTTTGACTCGTGGTTCAATGTGGACGAAGAAGAAGGACAGGAAAACGTGATTAAGAAGTTGCACACGATATTGCGTCCTTTCTTGCTGCGGCGTTTGAAGGCAGATGTGGAGCACTCTTTGCCGCCAAAAATTGAAACTAAGCTTTATGTTGGTTTGTCTGAGATGCAACGTGAGTGGTACATGCACGTGCTACATCGTGATGCGACGCATCTGAATGCAATTGGTGGTAGTGATCGCGTGCGTCTGCTGAATATTTTGATGCAGTTGCGAAAGGTATGCAACCATCCGTACTTGTTTGAGGGTGCGGAGCCTGGTCCGCCATACCAGGAGGGACCTCACCTATGGGATAACTGCGGTAAGATGACTTTGCTGCACAAGCTCCTGCCAAAACTTCGGGCGCAAGGCTCGCGTGTGCTGATTTTCTGCCAGATGACGTCTATGATGGATATCTTGGAGGATTACATGCGGTATTTTAGTCACGACTACTGTCGATTGGATGGATCGACAAAGGGCGAAGACCGCGATAATATGATGGAGGAGTTCAATGCTCCAGGGAGTACCAAATTCTGCTTCTTGCTGAGTACGCGTGCCGGTGGTCTCGGGATTAACTTGGCCACGGCTGATATCGTGATTCTATTTGACTCGGACTGGAACCCACAGGTGGATCTTCAGGCTATGGATCGTGCACACCGCATCGGTCAGACAAAGATTGTGCGCGTGTTTCGTTTCATTACTGATGGCACGGTAGAAGAGAAAATCGTGGAGCGTGCAGAGCGGAAGCTGTACCTTGATGCTGCTATCATTCAGCAGGGTCGACTTGCACAACAAAATCGGAAGCTGTCCAAAGATGAGCTGATGACAATGGTGCGCTTTGGTGCCGACGAAATCTTCAACGCTCGAGGATCGATGATTACGGACGACGATATCGACGCTATTCTGGCTCGTGGTGAAGAACGCACCGAGTCGATGAAAGGCAAAATTGCGGCTGACATGCAGCACAATCTGGCGAATTTCTCTCTGTCAGGTGACAACGGCAATGCTAACGTCTCAAGTCTGTATGAGTTTGAGGGAGAAGTGTTTTTGAAGGACTCGAATAGCGGAGACGTTCTACCTTCGACGTTTATTGCTCTTCCTCAGCGTGAGCGCAAGTCCAACTACAACGAAGACGAGTACTATCGTCAGCAGGCAGGCTTGTCGAAGCCGAAGAAAGCTAAGAAGTCTGGCTCGGACGCTGCAAAGGTCCCTGTTGTGCACGATTACCAGTTTTTTCAGCAGGAACGTATGGTGGCATTGCTCACGAAGAAGACTCTGGTTGAGAACCGTCGAAAGGAACTTACTCGACTCATAAAAGAAGCCAAAGCTGATGAAAGTCGTGCAAAAGCGCGCAAGCCAAAGGCAGCTGAGGGTGAAGAGTTGGCGGAAAACTCAGCAGAGGAAGAAGAAGGTGATGATGCTCGCTCTGCTGCTCTCGAGAAGGAGTTGAATATGACGGAAATGGATGCCGCAGACGTGAAGGAGCTCGGAGCTCTTGAAAAAGAGGGTTTCGGCGACTGGACGCGGCGAGACCTAAAGCAGTTTATCACGAGCTGTGAGCGTTACGGTCGCGCTGACAAGGCACGCGTATGTGAGGAGGTCTCGCAAGTTCTTGGTAAGGATCCTGCACAAGTGGAACGTTATTACGACACCTTTTGGTCTCGCTTTACGGAGCTTAAGGACCACGCAAAATACATCGAGAAGATTGAGCGAGGTGAGAAGCGATTGGAGCGCAACGAAGTGGTGAAGCAGGCTCTGGCGCGCAAATGCAGCCGGTACAGTCATCCGCTTCGTGACATGCGGTTGCACTACCCAGCTGGCTATAAGAGCAAGGGCTACATCCTCGAAGAAGACGTGTTTCTTGTGGTCATGATGAACAAGTACGGTCCACTGGAGCACTGGGGTGAGATCCGGGACGAGATCCGCAAGGCATGGCAATTCCGTTTCGACTGGTTTTTCAAGTCGCGTACCATCGCTGAGCTCCAAAAGCGCGGTGAAGTTTTGACGCGCATGGTTGAGCGCGAGAATGACGAGCTGAAGAGCCGCAATAGCAAGGACGAGGACGACCTTGCAAAGAAGGCGAAGAAGAGCAGCTCTTCGCGCTCCAAGTCAAAGAGCAAGAACACCAGCAGTAGCAGCCGTAGCAAGACGTCAAGCTCTAGCTCAAGCAAGAAGCGCAGTAACTCGTCCAAGCAGTCGGTATCATCGTCTTCCGCGAAGAAGCCGCGTTCCAGCTAATAGTGGTGCATTGGCTGCAAAAGTGTCTGTATATTTTCACGAGGGTATATACATCTAAAATGCTCCAATAATTGGTGTTATAGTAGATATACATCTAAAATGCTCCAATAATTGGTGTTATAGTTGAAGTTTGTACCCATTTATTTACATGGGTAGACATCGCTATCAAGCGCCGATCAAGCGCGGCCCCACATTTTTGCATTCTGCTTGCGTTTGATAAGGCTGTGGACAAAGAGATCGATATGGCGGCGACCGCACTGTGTGAAGTGTAAGGTGAACCAACGCAGTTCAACAGTAATCACGCGTGTTACAATCGAATATATTGCTGAGTGTAGGTAGTCTAGTCTTGAAGGATGGATAAGAAGCATGCACTCTACAATTTTGTAATGTACCAGCAGCGCATCGTACAATGCTCCATACTAAGCACTAGATGAAGCAGCAGTACTTAACACTGCCCAGGAGCAATATCATCATAGATGTCGCGAATGTCGAGTAGCATACAATTATTGGGCCAGGGATGAGAGAGCCACCTCTCCCTGGGTGCTTTAAATAAGGTCATTTAGAGCACCCAGAAAAGACAGCGAGCACTAATTTCCGTACAGAAGCCCTGTACACTTGAGTAGCTCCGCCTTCTAGAAAATTAGATTAATTTTGAGAGTTTGCGTAATCTCGCACAAGGCAAGTCCAAGCCAGCGCGTGCACAGGCTCAATGCAATCGTCGCCCGATGAATATTCAACCTGACGTTTCACACATAAAGAGGATACAGTACTAGTGAGTTTTGGTCGATGGGTGGAGGTGGTTGATGGATCGTCGACTCGAGAAGGGCACTCCCAAGAGAGCTGGAGTAGAAAAGTAGAGCCTATCGTTCGCTCTACTTTTCTAACAGTTCTTGTGATAACAAGTACTAGATCGTCACAGAATCGGTGCCGCATGCGTAACCTTTCCACAGCAGCTCTCGTTGCACTGAGACAGCTTCAATTTCCAGAGATTACATTGTTACGCCTCATAAAAGCAGGGACGATTGAGTAGCACCCTTCGACTCCATCGCAGTAAGTTCAATCCTGCCCAGCTGTCACCGTACCTGGAATGTCCTGGATATCATGTTGTGCAGGTTTTCTTTAGGACGCGGAGAAGATAAAGCTTTGTCAAGGACGCAAGTTCAGAAGGAGAGAATGATGACAAAGCACATGTCGCTGAGGACAATCACACGATAGTAAATCCGAGTGGTGATGTCAGACGAAAAGAGAGACACGCAAACCGACAAGGCAGACAGCACACCTAGATTCTGTGTGATAACAAGTTGCTACTATGCACGATAAATCGGAATATGACCTTGCTAAACGCCATGTCAATTGTAGATGATCCGGTGCGATGGACCTTATTGAGGTGCGCGACATACATTCACCTGATTTGATATTGAACGAGCGTCAGTCGATTTCACCACAAGCTAGTGTTACTTTCGCATCTTTTGTGTAACAATGAAGAAGCGACAATGGCACAAGCGCAGTGTGTCCAACCTGTTCCTGTTGTTCGAGTAGACGCGCTGCATCCTGTCCAACGCTCAAACTAGCTGCGAGAAGTGCAAAGCCGAGACTCAGTCTGACATGTACACGCCATTTGTTCGTCTCACAACCTGTTTCCCAATATGGAATTTCACGCAACAGCGAGACCCAAGCACGCAGGGTAGTCAACTCAATTAACGATACCGCGTACCCAAAGGCCTTCACCAGAAGACGGAAACAGGTTCGAGTGATTTCAAACGAAGTCGTCATCCAGCCCACGATACAATATCACTGACTCACGCGACGACCATCCAAAAAGCTGTGCAAGCAACCACGCGCCATCAAATCCAAAAGCTGAGAAAACTTCACCCCTCTTCCGGGTTTCATTAAATGCCAAAACAACAGACGCAAGAAGTCGCCAGGCTTATACTACTTCCAACACCCGTCTTGAGTGCTCGTCCGGGCTGCTGCTCTCCGTGCTGCTGGCGTAGTCTTCCTCGTGCAGCTTCTGTGGCGTCGACACACGAAAGACAAACGATTGCGCCACAATGTCGTGCTGACGAGGACTGCTGAGGCTGATGGGCATCGCAATCGAGTACTTGACGAGATGACCAAACTTCTCGTGCTTCGAAACCATAAAGATGCCCAGTGCCACAAGTGCGATCGCAGTCGGAAACGTAATCCACTGCGTCTTGGTAAAGTTGTGCGCCTGCTGGAAAAAGACGACACCGCTAATGTTACTCATCGTAATCCAAAAGCCCTGGAACACTGGGTATGACGACATGGTATCGCCCGTCATCGTCGCCAGGTTGAGGGTGTGCGTCTGCGTCAACAGCGTCGCCGCCATGCCCAGACACAACACGTACGTGCCAAAGTACAGAAACTGGTTATCACCCGACACGGTCGACGAAATGAGCTCCACGACGCACTTGGCCAGCAATACCGACTGGCCACCAATCGTGCCCGAGATCGCGGCCCAGTACAGCGGCAGCTTCGGATCAATAATCAGCGTCTGCTTTTCAATCTCACACTCGTCGTACTTGCCCACTTTACAGCTCGACAGCTCAATCTCTTCCAACTGCTCGTCCTCGTCGCCTCCAAGACCGTGATGGTTACCCCGCGGCGAGAGCGACAAGTGACCTCCACAAACAGGCGACGGGAACGGCGACATGAGGGCGCCTCGTCGACTCGGCTTCGTCTCATCTGCCGTCAACACCTCGTCTGTCACCTCGTGGCTCGTCTGCTCCGCCTTCTTCTTGCTCAACGCAGCAGCCAACTGCCGCTTCTTCTCCTGCACGTCGTCCACCCGCGCGTCGTCCTTGTCCGCGGACGCAACCCGCAGCGCCGGCGCTTTCGATCGCCGCGCGCGCATGTACAACGTCATGGTGAACGCCGTCGTAACGAGCACGTAGAGGATAAAGGGCGGGGCCGCCATGAGCTCGTACACCTGGTCCATCTCGTAGTGGCCCTCGTCCTCTTCACTCGCTGCTGCGAGCACAATGACGCCCAGAGACACGACTGCAACGCCGATAATGTCCGTCAAGTAGAGGCTCTGCTGGAGCCAAAAGTGCGACATGAGGCAGTTGCCCAAGATCGTGGAGCCGCCACCGAGCGACGCGACGAGCGTCTGTGGGGCAAACCCGAGCGCTAGAAAGTCGCCGAGGGACGCAGCGACGACGCAAATCATGCCGACCCACCAGATGGGGCGCATCGTGTACGGGCGCGGGACGGCGCGGAGCTCTTCCTTGTCGTGCGAGTACTTTTGGAGGTTCACGCCGAAGATGGAGAGAAACGCAGAGAGGATGGCGATGGCGCCGCCGATAAAGTCGCTCCTCATGGCACGAGCGGCTGCTGCTGCTGCTGGTGGTGGTTGGTGGTGGTGGAGATCTCTCTGTCGTTGGCTGGTGATCTCTTTGCGGTCTCTCCTCTCTTTAGCGTCTCTCGGTCTCTCGGTCTTTGACTGTGGACGGGGAGGAGGAGGCTTAGGACGTTTGTGGAAAGCGAGTTCCGACGAAAGGGGGATTCTGAGCTCGATGGAGTGACTGAGTGAGTGAGTGACTGACTGACTGACTCGATGGGATGGTACAACTTTTGGCACAAATTCCACCGAGGGCGGAATTTGAGCGAGAGAGAGAGGGAGAGCGCGCGACGGACGGACGGGAATGTATATAGATAGAGAGAGAGAAACGCCCCTCAATGGACAACGAGGCTGGCTTTGTGTAGAGACAGGCGAGTGGCTGCCACGCTCAACTGCTTTTCCGAGCGTGCGATGTGTAGAAAGGCGGCTGGTGATTCATTGATGGGTTGCTGCTGCTGCTGCGTTCGCACGGCATTGGGCAAAAGAGATGGTTTTTAGAACAACCGATTGCCAAGAGTTGCACTGAGGATGCCAATGATGATGTTTGGGATTCGTCTCCTCCATCGAGCAGCTTCGATCCGTGACTTGCGCATTCTGTCGGCAGTCAGCCCAGTCTGTCGTCGAGTCAGTCGAGTCAGTCAGTCAGCGGACCAGCTCCGTCGAACTTCAGGCCGAATGTTGGTAAAAGCTGCTCACCGTTATGTGGCAGCAGCCGGGCACTGCTTCGCCAAGTGGTATCGTATCGAATACTGAGACCGCATTAGTTTGAAGACCCCACAGGGTGGTACAGTACGAGCGGAATCAAATGGTGAGACCATTTAATTCTGCAAGATCTTTGCGTCGAAGTTCGCTGCGACCTGTGAACGAGGTGTCGCAAGAAATGGTCAGCCCAGACCAGCGAAGACTTCGTTTAACCCAGCTGGACTTACGCGATTGCGACCATTACACCATTGTACACTTATTAAGACAAGGCAACACATAAATGTGTGCCTGTTTCATGCCTGGCCTCGAACGGCTTGACGCTGTGTTCATTGCACGAGGTAACTGCGATCGACGTTACAGAAATCAGATAGAAACGAAGGACTCAGTTTGTGGAGCCAGTTAGAATGCCCTACCATTGCTGATTGGCTTAAATATTTGTCCAGCCTTCGTCATTTTCAAATTCGTTGTCAGCTCAGTCCTTTCTTTTCCTCTGTTTGTTTCCTGGGTTTTCAAGTTTGTTTTACACTAGACGGATGTGCCAACCACTGCCTTGTGAGATGCGCACTTTAGTTTCACTTTACTGGTGGGAATCCTCGCTCAATCAGCCCCCATCGATTCATTGACCAGTCCTCACCGATCGATTATGAACACTTGTATAAATATGCAGGGAGCCGCTAATGAGCTTTCACTTTTGCTACTTTGCCTTCGCCTCATACAATAAACAAGTAGTTTATTTGAAATGGCCTAAATTTATCGGTGTAAAATTGATTGTTTAGAAATACAGTTCTATTGCTTCTAACTTTTAGTCTCGAAGGACGCATGTCCTATAAGTTAGCAGAAGGTATTAGTTATTGGATTACTGTGGCGTCGTAAATAGGATATTAAACCGATTAAACAGCAAAATACTATCATACAGGGAATATAAAATTGCCCCCTTTAATAAAAAATGCTTCACAAACTAATGTATTTAAGTTAAATGTGGAGCATAAATACGGACGATAATGCTTTTATAGAGGAATTGACCTACTATAAATACCTTTTGCACGCTACAGTAGAGTCTCCGTAATTCATTATTCTTTAAGTTAGTCATCTCCCTTGCTTATTACAAATGTCGATCCCCATGTTGAGCCCAGGCCAAGTATACAAAAACTTCCTTGATTTTTATCATTAAAGCCAGAGAAATTGCCGCCGCACAATTATTATCCTGCAGCCGGCTAGCTAAAATTATCCAGTGTTTGTTGCTTGAGGGATTTTCACTGAAGATTTCCAACGATGGTGATGTAAGAATGTGAACCTACTTTGCAAGTAATCCGGCGTTGCGAAACAAGTGAGAGAGACAAGAATTAAGCATCAAATGGAAAGGCTGAACGAATGCACCGGACGGTGTTAAACATAGCACGCTCTATTTCATTTTCAAGCAACAACACACTGAACATCTGGGCGACGCGGTCGAGTACCCGACACATATCTTGAACCGCCGCCCGACAATCTCAAATCCGAAGAATGCACCGCCAATCGAGGTATTGACCAAGCAAGCACCCAGTTTGCGCAAAACGTTATATTTGGCTCAAAGTGCACAGTGCATCGTGACCCGAATAAGGACCCTCTCGCTCATTACGCGTGCGTATATACAATCGTCGGGCGCAGCGACGAGATCAATGGTTACCGCGTCTGTATTTGTAAAGACAGCGTTGTAATTGTGATGCAACATGTCAAGAATATTCAGACGTTTTCTCGCGCTCAGAACAAGCAAATTAAACTCCTTTTCAAGCCAGAGGATCAGGATTAAGTAATTTAAGGTGGCGAAGTAATCGTTCATATTAATTGAGAAGATTATGACAGCGAGAAGGGCTGCAAGAAATCAAGCAACCGGTGGACGCATGCCTCTCATGCCATGCGAGAATCAATTCAGCAGGCAGCGTAATACGCAATACGAAAATGAAAATGACGTAGGCACCGTGTTTCAATTCTACGAGGCGTACCCGAAGACGCATAGTGAGGTGATGCGCAGTCCCAAAGCTGAAGATTGGAGAAAGGCTATGCTCGAAGTATATACGCTCTCATACGAATAAGGACATGTGGAACGTGATCAAGCGACCAGCTGGTGCGAAGTTGCTACGCGATAAGTAGGTGTACGAGACAAAGACAGACGCAAGCGATGCATCAAAGCGGATGAATGCTTATATCGTGGTATGTGGCAAGAGAAAGTCTTGATGTCGACTACTTTCTTACCTTCGCCGCTGTGATGGACATGTCGACAATGAAAGTGATCCTGGGGCTTGCGGTGACATGGGTGTACCTGCAAAGCATAGTTACATCCTAAATGCCTACGTTAAGACTGAAGAGGAAGAGCATCTGGATATTATGCTTCACGATCCAAGCATTATGGAGACTAAGGACGAAAAGCTCAAGTGACTTGGTGTAGAGAGTGCAAGCGAAGTCGCAATAGAGCTCACGAAAAGCCTGTACGGGCTGAAATAGGCTGGACGACTATGGAGTCAGCTTTTGCAGACACGGCTTAACGACGCAGGATTCGGCGAGGCATCAGCTACATTTGTTCAAATTACAAGTGTGATGGTGATGATATTATTGTGGGAGGTAACCTACTTCGAAGACGTCCTTGTCATGGCGAGTACAAATTGCGAGCATTGGTTGGTCGTTCACGACAATGGAATCACTCACGATTAAAATTTCTGCGGCCAGTGTCGAAATTCCTTGGAATTCGAGTAAACGAAACTGGTACGTGCTCGTATGCTGTGGTCAGGAGGAGTCGATTGGTGAGTTTTTTGTTGTTGTTTCAGATGGTCTATTTACAAGGAATTAACTATGCGCAAGATCTCTGGTAAGATGTCAGCGCCGGTGAACCCGGGGGCTGTTCATGACTCACCCCGGTTGAGACGGGTGACCTTTGTGTTTAATACTCGAGTAGCTCGATACAAGCGTACATCATGGCGCCCTCAACAGCCGATGATTCATGTCTGTTTTCTCGTGTCGCGATCGCGCGAAGATGTCGGATGCATGTGGCCCAAAAGCTGGACGTGGTGCCTGTGGTGTCCTTCGACAACGACCGAAAACACCGCGTCATTTCGGTCAGTCCACAGCTTAGTTTGACATAATGTCGCAAGAATAAACCACATTCGCTTCCACACCCGTTCTGCTGCCTCCAAATTCTCTTGAAACCTGTCGGCTAAGGTGCTCTTCCGATGTGCGGGTATGCTGCCGATTCTTCGACTAGCACATGCTTCGAAAAAAAGGTGCGTGACCTGACGAGATGCCCGCTCTTCCGTCCAGTGCCCAAGTAGCTTGCTTCACACCGCCACGGCGTATGGGCAGTCCCAAAACAGGCGCACCCATGTTTCCACACAACCCATACACCCTGGTCGCTTTCGACATGTGTTGTTTTCCACTCGTCCTGAATGGTGCAGATTAAGTTGGCCTGTCGCAATTCTGTATCCCGTCAGACTTGATAAGTCGTAAGACCTTGACTATGGTCCCAAACTTGCTTTGTTGTTTGGCTCAGTGCCGCTCGTTGCCAATTATCCTTCGTCACCCGTTCTTCCAGACGGTCCAAGAAATTCTTCAACGGACGTGCCAACACCTGTCGATGATATCGAAAAGCTTGACGCTTAAGCGCCGCCTAGACATACTGATTCGGCGTATTGTCAGGAACCGTCCATGGAAATCTGTGTAGCAGCGGGTGAGCCTCGAAAACCAGGCCTATCTTGCACACTTCATGACGTAATGCCTGTTGTAAGAAATGATCCATTGGCATTACTGGGATGTGACCGGTAAATCTCCAGTGCATGCCATCTGCCTCTTAATACAGCATTATGGTTTGTGAAAACTGCATCTCGACCCCTGGTGGTTGCCCAGCAATTATCCCTCCTGGAAGCAGCGACCAGTCATAGGTAGATAGTAATGGAGGACCATTGCGTAGTAGCAATGCTGAAGACTAGCCAACTCTCGAACCGACGTCGACGTCTGGTGAGGAGAGCAGAACTAGTGTTGCCCACCGCTGCAATTTTGATGCAGAGTGAGACCTGGATTGATTCGCGGGCCGGGGTATCTTTAGCACGTACTCCGTCTGCCCAATTCTTGTCAGGCCGATCTGTCCCAGCGCACGGGCTCAATCCTGTTTTACTTGGTTGTGCTTAACATATTGCCCATGTCATCTCGTATCCATGGGTTCTGCGCCCAACTAAACGTGAACAAGAACATTAAGATCTCGTCGGGCCTGTCAATGACTCCCATTGCTCGACTGGGCACCGGTGAGGTATAGGATAGAACTAATTCGTCTCCGTCCCACCAGATTTGAGCCCCATGAATTAAATTTGCAGCATTAGTTGCGACCCACTCAGCCAGATGATGTTGCTGATCCAGTGTTGGGGCAATCCATGCCCCCAGCACCCTCTCCAACTCCAACCCAGGTATATATCGACAACGTGGAGCAGCCCGTTCGAACGGCTCAGCTGGAGTTACCTGCCTTGCACTAGCTCGCTTTAATCTTTTATAGACCCATATTCGCTATGCTTCGAAGTATTTGTCCGGTCGTAGATCTAACCACAGAGTGGCATGCTTGTACGTTAAGCTTTGACTGCGGCCGACATATCCACATGCCCTATACCACCTGCATGTCGAGGAGTTACTAATAACCCCGGTTGACCTTATGTCTCCTTGCCTCTGTTGAAGTAGTGTGAGCCCATAAGAATTGCTTGTACAAATTGGACAGCTCCTTCTTGGCCCACATCGGTAGCTCGTGTATGCATGCTGTGAACAGCAGGGAGGCAAGCACGATGGAGTTGAGTTTAAGAACTCTGTTCTCTACGCTTGTCGCCACCCGATTTGCGGTTAAGAGTCGTCGTTGAATCTTCTGGATCCGAAGGGCCCAATTCTTGTTCTCTACGTCCACTGTGCCAACCTCATATCCCAGATACCTGGTGGTACCTCCTGGTGGCACGACTTCGATACCCTCGTAGATCTTGACTTGACATTAATCGCCTTGTTTAAAAATAGGAGCTTGCTATTGCTTGGTTGTACATGCAAGCCGGGTAGTGCACCAGAATCACTCACAATGCGTAGAGCCTGCTGAATTTGCCCAGCAGTCGCGGGGAATAGAGTGGAGTCGTCGACAAATGCTGAAAATAGGTGCGTTTGCTCAATTATCCCTGGTTCTTTCAGACCTTGTAGCAATGTGTCTTGCTTTAATGACAGACTGAGCACCTCTACCATCAGCAGAAATAAAAGCGGCGCGAGCGGACAGCCTTGACGAATACCCGAGGTCACCGGGAATGCGTGGGACTGACTTCAATTTACAACAAAGCAAGCTGACGTGCCATTATGAATGCGTCGTATGAGGTCGACAAACTGTTCGTCGAACTCAAACAGCCGTAGAGATTCGTACAAAAAATCGCGATCTACAGTATCGTTTGCCTTTCAAAAATCCAATAGCGATATACATCTGCTCTGTTCAGCCGTTAATTCTTCCTGGTATGCTGCTGTCAGAAGTTGAGACATCATCATCATCACTGACTTCTACATTTGGCGACCGTGAACAAAACCTTGTTGCGTGTCGCTAATGGCCCGAGGTAAAGCGTGTCGAGGCCGGGTTGCTACCACCTTTGCAAAGACTTTGTAGCTTGTTTGCAGCAACGATATAGGCCTGTAATCCATAGCGTCGTCTGAGTCACCTTTCTTCCGGATAGGGAAGATAATGGACTCCAAAAAAGATGATGGCGAATCCGTCCCCTCCAATATTTGGTTGCTGATGATGACCAGAGCTGGTATCATGAGTGCTGCTGTATCCTTGTAGATATCGTTATTAAGTCCATCGGATCCAGCCGATTTATGACGATTGAGCCTAGTAATAGCTGACAGCACCTCTGCTGCCGTAATGGGTTGTAACAGTCGATCATTGTCGTTTCTTGTGAGGCGTTGTTCGGGCGGTACGGTCGCAAATGACCGCAGCTTCGAAGATAATAGATGCACCGGTACGGTGCGGTGGATCTTGCTGAGTACATGTGCCCATTTGGACGCAAATTGATCCACTATAGACAGTCTGTGCGAGAATACTTGTCCATGAAGCACTCTGAGGGACGGTCTGTGCGAGAATACTGGTCCATGAAGCACTCTGAGGGAGGTGACGTGTTGATCTCGTTTCCAATTAGCAATTCTCTTGTAGGACCATCGTAAACGCTATGACGTCCGTCCCATGGCCTCCCCAAGACGAGACAAGTGATCCTCCCTCAGCTCTTCAACATTCGCTGCTATCCATTGCCATCATGTGAGAAATCGCCTTCTTTTGCACTGGCGAAGCTTTGCTAAGTAACGTTTCCTCCTTTGCTTTTCTCGCTTCCTCATAACCCGAATACAGTGTGTACTCCCAGCAATATGGGCATCCCAAGACCGATTAGAAGGGCAAGGCCTACCCGTAAGTTAGTCATATCGTTAATGACTTCATTCAAGACTCTATCTGGACTGTTTGAACGTATAGATTGGAATTGTCTGCCTCTGCTGTTAGTGTTGACCCATCCGTTTCTTTCGCAAATGGAGCACCACTTAATCGTGATCGGAAGGTTGAGGTAAGGGAGTTGTAGATACCCACAGTACGTCCGGTGCCCATGATTGGGCCACATAGATCTGATCAATCCGGCTCGCCGTATTTGAGGTCCAGTTCGTGTAGTGAAGACTCGTATCAAACTCATCGACCTATGCATGCTCCCGTAGAAAACGAGCATCGCTCAGGGCTATACCCTCCACCAGCGATCTTAAATTCGGACTCTCCGGGCGACTAGATGTCCTTAGGCCCAATTGGTCGAGCTGGGGGCTTCGAACATTATTAAAATCTCCCAGCAGGTCAGTTTTTCCTGACCGCATGTTCCTAACGTGGAGACCCTAGAAAAATTCTTCGCACTCTGCTCCGATGTTTGGTGCACATATGTTAATCATACATATGTTGTGCACGTTTAATTCAATTGCGCGTGAGTTCCACTTGCCTTCATTCCATGCGACCTCCGCTGACGCTGCCGTAGTAGATAGCAAAATACCCCCCCCCGAGCCTTTGGCGAGATTATACTCCAGAAGGACATTGGCGCTTGTTCTTGGTCGAAATGTTTTCCCCACATCCGCCTCCGTTCCAACCGTAATGTTGCCGCATCTTCCTCATCGGCCACGTGTGTCTCTTGGATGCACCACGCTATCGGTCGACTTATCGACTTTGTTTGCCGTCAGGCTCTCATCCATAGCTTGCTTGTACCTTTAGAGAATCCACGGACATTTTGTGTAGGAAGTCGTCGATATGGCTCCCGCTGTGATGAAAGATATCGCACGTCTGAATCGGATTCGAAGGCACGTAACAAAGAATGCTGTCCATAGGCGTCAGCGCTCTGGAGCCCTGATCTTTAGTTGGTCGCCGTAAATAAATCGCGTTAGGTGCCATTAGTATAGAATTTGCTCCTTCTCCACTAGATGAGCTAGTCCATCTTAGAAGAACCGCTCGATTGCCGTCCAATCTGCTAGTCGAGAGGATGTGTAGTATGCCTCCTTATAGCTAGTACTGATTGAAATAAGCTTCATGTGTGAACGCATTTTGTCAGGCACCCCTGTAACAGATGGCAAGCCATCTACTAGGGCTGCTATCTCATAATCGTAGAGAATTGCACAAAGCAAGTGGTGACTGAGCCGTGTTCGGCGCTGGAGATCTCATAAACGAATCAGGTCATCCCCAGCGTAATTATTGGCTTTCATTTTGGTCCAATCTTCCGCATTGTCCATGAGCGGCGCTAGCACGGAATGATCCTTTCGGCACGTATTATCGAGCCAGCGATCCACCCGATCTTGCGTTAGCCGATCCATAGGTGTTGCTCTGTATCGCCTCAACGAATCTTCGACACATGCCCTCCTATTCTCAGTCATCCACATATTGATAACCGAGACGTCCAGTGTTTGCAGAAGCTCCCCCGGCCACATAGATCTCTTGAGCTTGCCAGCTAGAGTAAATGGTCCGGTGCATGTCGGGCAACTTGTTGCCACTCCGTAGTAGGGCTATCCGCACTGGGGAAAGAAATCTTCTTGGCATTTGGCCAGTTCGCTTCCAGAATCTCCCATGCAGAGGCCCAATCTCCCCGATCTATGCTTTCGTATCCTTCGTCTTTATCTTGTATCGTCGAGGGTACCGACCCAACACGTCCCTTTTTTGATTGAGTCGCGTTGTGCATGTACGGCACAATCGCCCCAGGTGAACCTATCTTCTCGGGTGATGAGCTGATGCCCCTTTTGCGATCCGGTGGCGGGGATCGACGTGGCCTAATTGGAGGCGTTAGTGAGGAATCAGGTAAAATCATCCTAAGCTCAACCACAGCAAATTGTTGGGTGTGGTCCGTCCGAAGTTCCACGTTCGTGGAGCTAGCTCGTCGGTCGTCTGGTGGAGCACTACTTAGGATAGTAGAGACTGCCATCTCAGCTGCCGTCGTCGTGGCGTGTGCCGTCCCCATATGTACTAGTTGTGTACAGGTCCAATGATCTTGTAGTTCCTGGGTGGGGAATCTGTAACGGGGTGAATCGTTACATAACAATTTATAAGAAATTGTTAATAGAATATAACTATAAGAGTTATATTCTCAGAATATTGTCATAAGGACAATATTCTGTAGCACTTCCAAGTAGTCCCTAATTGGTTGATATAGGCCATTATATCAACCAACGAAGACGCGCCACGACAGACGCACGCAATGAGTGGTGAGCAGATAACTGATTTACACATTTGTATTTAGACATAGTTAGATGAAGATAAATAGTGATTTATTGCAGACATTAACTATTATAAATACAGTTCTACTTTTTACTCTAACCGAGTACTCGCTTCTTCTTACCGTCTTCCTCTGCACGTACGAGTGTACGTGAAGTTACGAGGCACCGCCTTATTCTGTTATCAGAATAAGTAGCTTGTACTGTCACCAGTACAAGCTTCAGGGTGCCCCGTTACACCTGGTAGCACTTCGTAGTCCGTCCAAGGACCGCGTTCACATCCAACATGAATATGTTGGATGATGAAGATGACCAAAGCTTTCACGCTACGCGTGACGGCTACTCCCATTTGAGCGATGTCGAATGGGATGCGGTTGAACGAATGGGTTCGACCATGGGCATCCATGCTGTTAGCGTCATGCTAGAGGCTCTCAATAGAGATGCCCAACATGCTACTATCGCCAAGTTCATTCAAAATGAACTTGACGCAGAACGCGAGAAAGTAGCCTTGCTTCACCAACAAGGTTCTCAACAAGCAGAGTTGTTGAGAGAACAAGGTGCTCAACAGTTTGAACTGTTGAGACAGCAGCAGGCTGCTGCTGGCGGGTCGATGCACTCGCGTCGGCCCGAGACTTTGAAGATTGACATCTCAAAGTATAGGGGGGTCGAAGAAGACTCCCTCTTGAGATGGTTCGTCGAATTGGATGACGCCATAAGGGCGCGTCGCATCGACGACGGGGATATGCAAGTTGCATTTGCCCAGTCAAATCTGGCAGGACGTGCCAAGACTTGGGCACTGGGGCTCAAGCTGCACGACCCATATGCGTTTGGGTCGTTGGAAGTCTTCAAGTCGCGGCTCAGACAAACGTTTGAACCGCCTAGAGCTGAGTTCAGAGCTCGAACCGAACTCTTGAAGCTCAAGCAGGGTAAGCGTGATGTGCACGCTTACGCTCAACATATACGACATCTCACGAGTTGTATAAGTTCCAATCCGGTGGATGAACACACGTTGGTTTCGGTGTTCATGCAGGGTCTTGCGGATGGTCCCGTCAAGACTCACCTGTTCCGGCTTGAACTAGATTCACTAGAACAAGCCATTTCCATTGCGGAGCAGGAAGACTTCAGTCTGAGACAGGCTCGCGCCAGCTCGACATCATATCGTCAACCGAGACGATATGACAACGGAGGTCCAGAGCCGATGGAACTCTGTTATGTAGAGAGCGAGAAGGCTCGCTCTACAGGCTACAAGAAGTTGCAGAGATGCAACAGATGTCAAAAGACAGGACACTACGCTTACGAGTGTAGTGCCCCTCGTCCAGTGTCTCGCGACACTGGGCGTAGTGACCGTCCACCCATGAGAAAGGGGCAGGGACGAGGGTCCGCAGTTGGTGCAAAGACGCAACAACGGGATGGACCGTCAAAAAACGGACAGGATCAGTAGGTGCGGAGCACCCTACTGATCCAGCAACGTCAAGAGAATTTGTAGGCCTCTTGATGAAGGTTGCTCCCAACACACAGACATTGTGCGTTGCTGCTCTAGGTAATGAGATCTCACTCATTACCTTGAAACTCGAAGTGACGAATAAGTTGTCCCTTCGAGCTCTAGTCGATTGTGGGGCGTCCAACAATTTTGTGCGACGCCAATCGCTAGAAGATGGTCACTTTAAATTCAGTGAATGTGACACACCTCCTACGAGGATGACGGTACGTCTTGCGACAGGCGCATCCGTAACCGTCATGAAGCGTATAGTGAAGATTCACTATACGCTAGAAGATACCCAATACGACGATGACTTTATCGTATTGGATTTGGATGACAAATTTGATGTCATCCTTGGAATACCGTGGCTCAGAAGGTACGAACCACGGGTAAACTGGCAACATCGGACAGTAACGATGCCTGCCGCTTGTTCATCAGATGGCCATCTGATGAACGTTTTGGAGACGTCCACAAGCGTGTGGATGTACTACGAGTGAGTGCGATGGCCTCACTTGTGGTACGGTCGTTAGTACGACTGCACAAAACCTTAGTGTACCAAACGGTTACACTTCGGAGCAAAGTTCCGGCGGCTGTGAGGAAACACAGGCTGCGCCGAAGGTCCACCACTCGAATAAGTCGGGTGGACTGGGACAAAGATGTATCCCTAGAGGGGAACATCTAGAAGAGAAACAATCGATCGCTCAGGTTAAGCGAAACGATAATCCTAGATCGACTGGAGAGTCTTTCGTAGAGGATCTCGCTGTGGTTGCGCAACCCCAGCTAGAGGAAGTAAAGGGAATAAGTCCCAAGATTACAAATACGGCGGAAATAAGTTCCCCGAAACCCGCGGGAATAAGTCCCCGGGAAGACGAAGGAATAAGTCCTTCGAAGCCTGAGGGAATAAGTCCCCAGGAAATGACAGAGACATTGAATGTCATAGTCAATAACGGATCATGTGTAGGCGCTTATACACTTGATCTGATTGCGCCTCCGAAGTTAACTTCGGAGATCACTCAGTTGCCAACGCTCGAACATAAAAGATTCTTGCGTGATCTGCGTAGTGGCAAAGTCAAGCAGATCTGCATACTCGTCGCTGAAGACGAGTATGTAACCGACATAAGGTCAGCAACAGTGTTTACTGAGAACGAGAGAGTTCTCAGTAGTTCATCTATGGACGAGAGTGTCCTAGATGAAAAGACACGAATTGAGCGATATGAGTCCCAATCATGGGAATCGCTCAAGGAAAATCCTCTCTATGAAGATTTGGTTGAATTCAAGGATGTATTCCCTGAAACTGTTCCGTGCGAATTACCGAAGGATAAAGGTATTCGACACGAAGTCGAGCTTAAACCAGGCTCGAAGTACTGTGTCATGAAGCAGTGGCCACTGCCTCGTGAACAAGTACTTGCGATCGACAAGTTCTTTGCCGATCGTTTAGCAGCGGGCCATGTGAGGGGAATCAACTTCCCCACATAGCTCTCCGACCTTCTGTGTGCGAAAAGCAACAGGAGGGTGGCGGATAGTGCACGCGTTTAACAAATTGAACGCTGCAACGGTACCGGCTCAGACGCCGATACCGAGGAAGGACGTAATCATTGATGGTATGTCAAAGAGTACCATCTTTTCGTCCATGGATTTGATGGATGGCTTCTATCAAATCCTAATGCGGGAACGGGATATACCCTATACCGCAGTTAGCACGCCCTAGCGGCATGCTCTGGGAATGGCTAGTAATGCCACAAGGGCTCAGTAATGCCCCTGCCACGTTCAACAGGTGTGTATCACATCTGTTGAGGCCAGTACGAGAATTCGCGCCGAGTTATTTCGATGACGTATTCATCCATAGTCGAGCTATGGATGGAAAGTCGGACGTTGAGGTTCACAAGTACCACGTCCGACAAGTTCTTACAATCATGCGAAAGCATCAATTGTATGCAAACCTCAAGAAGTGTATATTTGCAGCAAGCGAAATACCACTTCTTGGGTGCATCGTTGGTAAGAACGGTGTACGTCCTGATCCCGAAAAGATCAAGGCGATCACCGACTGGCCCGTGCCGGTCGATGTCAAAGGTCTTCGAAAATTCCTTGGGCTAGCGGCGTATTTGCATAAGTATTCACGCAATTACGCCGAGATGACTGTACACCTCTCTCGTTTGTTGAAAAAGAACGAGAGGTGGTTATGGAACGCTGAATGTCAACGCTCCTTTGAGGGTATCAAGCAGAGCTTGATACAATCCCCAGTCCTAGCAATAGCCGATCAGGACAGGCCATTTCATGTGGTCTGTGATGCCAGCGATTTCGCAATCGGCTGTGCATTAATGCAGTACGACCTTGAAGGCGTTGAACGCGTCGTCTGCTATCAGTCGCGTCAGCTGCAACCAGCTGAGCGGAACTATCCAGTGCATGACAAGGAACTCCTTGCCATGAAGTATGCACTCGCGAAGTTCAGAGTCTATCTATTAGGAGATAGACCCTTCGTTGTTTACACTGACCATGCGTCCTTACGCACGGCAGTGAACAGCCCGCACCTTTCACAACGAATGGCGCGGTGGTTGTCATTCTTTGCAGAATACAACTTTACGGTCGAGTACAAACCAGGACGACTTAATGTCGTCGCTGATGCACTCTCACGTCGTCCCGACTTTGAAACAGTCGCGAAACCCAACAGTGAGACAGTCACTGTTGCGGTTATGACGTCCTCAGTTCCATCTACAACGTTGTATGATGATGTGAGGCGGGCATACGCCCAAGATGGTGAGATAGTGAAGTTGTTGTCACATCTCTCCCAACCATCTCGAGAATCGTTGAAACGATTGTCGTCTGCGTATCGATCTGCATCAGATCGATACACTACTCGTAACGGTTTACTGTACTATACAGCCGTTTCTGGTGACACACCACGTGTTGTCATTCCAGATGATATTGATCTGCGTTTGCGGATCATGTTCGAGTATCACGATGCTCCTATAGGAGGACATCGTGGCCGAGAGAAAACATATCTCACGGTAAGTCGAGACTTTTACTGGCCCCGCCAGTATCAGTTTGTGCGAAAGTATGTTCGCGCATGCGAAGTCTGCCAACGAGTGAAGTCAAGTCCTTCACTGCGTGCACCTTTACAGCCTCTACCGGTTCCGGCTGAGTGCTGGGAATCCATCTCAATGGATTTCGTCTTCGGGTTACCCAAAGACGCACGCGGGAATACGGGTATTCTCGTATTTGTTGACAGATTCAGCAAAATGGTACACCTTGTGGCTGTACCAGAGACAA